AGAACTGGCTAGTTATTGACTGTACTAATTCTTGATAAAGGAACATTAATGAATTGTTAACTATTTGTTTTATATTGTTGTCAATAAAATGAAATCTTTGCAATCAGTTTGACACTTTGTCAAGTTGCAATGATCTTGCCAAATTTAACTTTAAATTACAAAATAAAGCATATAATGAATTTAAAGTTTAATTCTAGCACAAAAAACTTAAAATATTTCATAGCTTTCTCTTAAGAAAACATGATTTAAATTAAAAAATAAATAAAATAATAGAAGTTGAAAACTAGAAGGGTGACATATTGTATTGACAGAATAATCAATCCTTTCGGTTCATTTTGACAAATTTCAACATTTCATTATACAGACAAATGATGATTTATCTACGCTAACTTAAAATACTTAGAAAATTTCTAAAATAACTTGAATAAATACTGAAATTTATTTTTTCTGGATTGTTTTATTGAACATAATTTTCCGCCAAAACCAATATAAGTGGACTTATTGATTAAAATGGACATTTTACAGACATCAATCAACACTTTTCCGTGTAAATAAAAAAAAAAGTGTAATTCGAAATTTTCGAAGTTCCTTTTAACTTGGAATTAAACAAATTCCACTATAATAAAAAAATTAATTTATAAATCTTACAGAGAATAAAAATGATCATCAAGCTTATTTTTATTTTACTCTATTTATAAAATGAGGTATTTTATTCTGTTTGAGTTTTAAGCTATCAAGACTTGAGTAAAGCAACTAACATTTACCAAGGCAATTGCGAAACAAGTTAAAATTTCATGCTTATTCAATTATAAAAACATAAATATTATAGTTTACATAGAACAATAATACAGAGGGCTAGAATTTATAATTATAAAACATAATTATTCTTAATTATTAACTAAAATATTAAATATTTTTTACCAAATTTAAAATTTTCTTATTTTTCATAGTTCAACATCTTTTTCAGCATAAGTTAACACTTCTGACCATTGATAATAAAAATCATTTTGAAATGAAATGAGAAATATTTAAAAGTTGTATTAAGGCAGAATAGATCGTAACTGTTGTGTTTCGTGTCATAACCATATTTTTAGCTTCAAATGCTCTTATCGCTCAAAGAAATATTTATCGAATGTAACAAGCCATTCAAGTCGATAGTTTAAAAAAAAAAAAGAACTAAAATATATTACAGGAGGATCACAACACACGGTTGATTTATCCAGAGATAAAATATAAAACACGGAGAAATTAAAATAACTACAAAATTATCATTGATGAAAACTTTACTATGAAATTTGATGAAATAACGTAAACACTGAATAAAATAAAAATGTCTCTTTTAATAAATTAAAATCAATCAAGTATACAAAATTAGTAAAGTCATTATTTATCAAAAGTGTAGGTCTAAAAATAACTTTCATAGCATTTATAAAGATAAGATTTAGTGGAACGTTAATTCTTAATGAAAAATTATAGATTTAATAAGATTTTTTTAAAATGATACAATTTTAGTAATTGTACATATATTACTAACATAGAATTTCGTAAAGATCATTAATTAGTGAAAAAACCTTCACAAAGGTTACGATTCTATATTTATCTAGAAATATCTAGAATTTTTTTTATGTTTCTTATTTTTTTTTTTTTTTTTTTTTTTTTTTTTTTTTTTTTTTTTTTTTTATTTTTTTACAGAACACTACAAGTGTACATAAATACAAAATAAGCTCCGAAATTTCCCTATTTTAATCTGATGACATCAAACAACGAATAACTTTAAAATAAAAAATATATTATTGAATTAATGTTTAGAATAGAATTTATTGTACCCAATCATCCTATGGTAAAATTACACAGATAAAGTGTAATTCCAATTCGGAAAAGTTAAAAATAATTGGTCAGAACAACAAATATATTTATATATTTATTTTGATATACAGGGTGTTTCGTAATTGCACGGTACTATTTTAGGTATGTGTTCACTAACACAAAAAAGTTCATATTAACATTTATCTCAAACTCATTTCAATATCAAAGGTTAAAGATTTATTATTTATTTACTACATTAATATTAACTGTACAAAGTTTAAAACTAAATAACAGGTTTTAATCACCTAATAAACAAATGAACGATAAGCAGTGACAGTAGTTGCACATCTGTTTGTCTAGTTTTGTGTGTTTTAGTGTGAGTGAATACTGTGACACAGTTCAATTTATGATTATTATTATATCATCACATAAACAGATGAGCAACTACTGTCATTGCTTATCGTTCATTGGTTTATCAGGTGATTAAAACCTGTTATTTAGTATTAAACACGTTCGACTTTGTACAGTCAGTCTTAATGTAGTAAATAAATAATAAACCATTAACCTTTGATATCTGTTTAATAAATGAGTTTGAGATAAATGTTAATATGAACTGTTTTGTTTATTTTGTGTAAGTGAACACATACCTAAAATAGTGCCGTGCAATTACGAAATACCCTGTATGAAGGATTTACGTTCCAAAAGGCATTAAAAGTAAATTTTTTAAAAAGGTTGTTGAAATTTCTTTTTCCTTCCCTTCTTCGCCTGAGTTTTTCCTGGACCATGGATTAATGCTAGAATTAAAAGATTCTTCCCTCCCCCGCTGGCATCAGGATTCGAATTTGTTATTTTATGTTTATTAAGTTGTCAGGCAATGCATATTTTCACACACGTTAGCCTATTCGGCCATTCTGCTCCCATGCCAGTATAAGTTATAGTACCCAATGAAACGAGAAACCCATAGCACATGATTTTACCTAAAATCATCATTTTCCATAAAAATACCTTTAGGAACTTCTTTCCATAAGTGTAATGAACATCTCTTTTGGATATCAGACACGGGTATGTTTTCAGCAATAATTGTACTCATTTATTTAAAGTACATTTTTATTTTACAAAATAATTTTGCTTTCTTTTAGCCGATTTTAAATTGATAATTAATAAATTGAAAAGAAGAATTGTTGGGGTGATCAGTCAACAAAAAAAAATTATAAAAATAAATAAGTATATTATAAATTATTATTATTATAAATATAAAGTATAAAATTGACTTAACTTAATTAGAGTTATGATTTATAGAATAATGAAGAGAAGAATAGTTGGGGTGCTCAGTCAAAAAAGGAAGGCAAAAAATAAATTATAATATTTATTTTTGACATATGCCGACGTTTCGACCTGAAGTTCAGGCCTTCATCAGGGCTAAGAAAATAACCAGATAACAAGGTATGAGAAACATAAGTAATGATGGTAAAAAAGATAATAAAAAATGAGAAAATAAAATTAAAAAAAAATTATAAGAAAAATAAAATAGATTGATATAAAGTAAAATGAAATTGTTAGAATAATGACTAAGAACTAAGAGATAAATAATAAAAACTGTTACATAGTGTGGAATGATGAAGTAGGCATAATCAAAAAGGGGTGACAGAAGTGTTACATTGGGAATCTTAGAATAAAATGTAAAAACATAAAAAAGAAATATAAAGTTATATAAGAAATGAAAATAAAGTCCCTTGTAACGACTTTATTCTCCCCGTGACACTTAAGGAGAAAGGTAGTACTTCTTTTATTTCTTTCTTATTTCAGCTTTCTCAATTTCTTCCCTCCTTCCTTTCATTCCTTTTCTCTGTTGTTAACTCTTTATTATATTATACATTGTCTGTACATCTTGATAGACTTTACAATATCTCAATTTTCTATCTAACTACTCCATTCTCAATGTTTTCAATTTTACTATTTATTTTATTTTCATTTCTTATATAACTTTATATTTCTTTTTTATGTTTTTACATTTTATTGTAAGATTCCCAATGTAACACTTTTGTCACCCCTTTTTGATTATGCCTACTTCATCATTCCACACTATGTAACAGTTTTTATTATTTATCTCTTAGTTCTTAGTCATTATTCTAACAATTTCATTTTACTTTATATCTATCTATTTTATTTTTCTTATAATTTTTTTTTATTTTATTTTCTCATTTTTTATTATCTTTTTTACCATCATTACTTATGTTTCTCATACCTTGTTATCTGGTTATTTTCTTAGCCCTGATGAAGGCCTGAACTTCAGGTCGAAACGTCGGCATATGTAAAAAATAAATATTATAATTTATTTTTTGCCTTCCTTTTTTGACTGAGCACCCCAACTATTCTTCTCTTCATTATCCACGACAGTCAACCAATTACCAATTATGGATTTATAGAATATTTAATTGAATATGACTAATACCGCCTTCATAGAGTGCAGAATTACATTAAAATACAGAATTAATGGTGTTTATATTATAGATGGCTTGAGGATGGCTTACCGGCCGAAACGTAGCTATAAAAATTAAAATAAATACGGTGAAAAAATAAACAGAGCCTTATTTTATAATATTAAAAAATTTTCAACTCAAACAAGCACATATGGATTTGTAAATTTTTTTTTTTGACTGATCACCCTAACCATTCTTCTCTTCAATTATTCTCTACAGTCAACCATTAATCCATAATTATGATAATTAATAAATAAATATATATATATATATATATATATGTATTATCTCTTCATTAAAGCCATTCTAGTGTTCTGACCAATATTTTAATAGGAAGCTGACGATTCAATAATAAAATTTTATCTTATTCTATAGATATCAACTAAATACAATTTAAATTTATAGTGAATACAAAAATTTTTTTAAGAGGAAAAGATTAATATCAATGATAAAAGTAGTGTTAAGATGAAGTGACTACTTTGATTTTACTTTGTGAAAGGAAGGAAGAGAAAAAAAAAATGTTTTAAAGTAACAAAAAATCAAGAGACAAATTCTGAAAAATTCATTAAACAAACGTGAAAGTAAGCAATGGTAGAAATACCAAAGGGTAGCTTATGATAATTGCTCATAAGCTCTTAAGAAAAAGCACCAAACATATAAACATATGTTGATCAATGACTAGAATAATATAATATAATAAAACTGATGGATATTGTTAAGAATATTAGAAAATCAACCAGCATCGATGAGAGTGGTCAGCCTCGACACCTGGTCCCTGAGGTCGGACAGCGTATCCCCAAGCACGCAGGAGTAGAGTGCTTTCGGAACTCCGGTGTCTCGCAGGTGTCTCCGCATATCACCTAAGAAAAAATAAAATAAAATAAAACATATACATACTAGTGGACCCGTGCGAAAAATTCACAGAAAATTTTGTTTAGTGAAGAAATTAATATTTCCTTGATCAATTACAATATTCCATTAAGCATAATAGACCAAAATATTTGTACATAGGACCTATTTTTAAACGCAGGCTGGAAAGATATTAAAAGTAATTAAGACAAAATAATGCCCCGATCATGAGATATTCTAAATTATTAAAAAAAAAATCTGGTGCACGCAACACACAACTTTCACTTACCACTCTACTTTGAATAGAAATTATTTTCTGGCAATGCTGGGCTATTATCAAATTTTTTGAAGTGGATTTTAAATAGGGTTAAAGCTTAAAGCTTAGAGATAACAAGTCATTAAGACCATTATAATTACAAAATGTCTATTTAATATATCGACGGTAGGCAATAAAAATCTAGTCACTCCATCTGCTTTTATAAACCACATAATGACTAACTCCAATTTCAACATTTTTGAGTGATGTCATTTTAGTGATATTTTAAGTTGAAAAAGTTATCTATGCAGACAGTGAGTAAGTTGATTCAGGAGATGGTGATTGCAGTGTTGAAATACAGAACTGAGAATAAAGGTATAAATTTAGGTAATTATTTCTTATGAAAGATGTTCTGAGGTAAGATACTTCATTAAATATCTGTAGAAAATAAGTTTTATTATTCTCAACAATTAAAAAAGTATATTTTAAATTCATCCAAATTTTCGCCTCTTCTGGGGAAAAAACTGACTTTAGCGAAGTTTCATTGACATCTGTACATTCGTTTAGGAGCTACAATCTATAGCAACGCAGGTTTTTCTGCATTTTTATTTTTTTTCTCCTTTATCAACTCATCAAATTCTTTCAAAAGTTACACGTAGCATTTTTTCGTAATTCTGAATAACGCGAAATGATTAACTTTTTAAAATAAACCATATTAAAGGTACTTTAGAGGAAGACGTATATGAACATTGGGCATTTAAGCCCTGTAAAGTGACATCAATGGGGATAATACCTAACTGATATTAAAGACCACTTAATTATACAATGATACACCGAGTTTAATCAAAATCGTTAGAGCCATTTTTGAGTAAATTGTAAAAATGTGTTTCAGCGTTCATATCAAGTGGCACTTCCGGTTAGCCAATTTTAACGAAAAAGTTACTGTCACATCCGGCCCATACACAAACCTTAAATACTTAATATCAATTTCGTACTACTTTTCGTTTTTGAGCTAGACTGTTAACACACACACAGACCATTTTGCAATACTTGGTTATTTGGACTCAGGGGACTTCAAACCAAACCATATATTTCCGTTGAAAATTGAGATTCGAAAATTTTCACAACCGCAATACTTACCCTTACTATGTACGTAAGTGAAAGTAATATAAGATAAGAACAACAACCAAATGTCTTTAATAAATAATAAAGTTAACATATCAAACAGGAAAAAAAATGTAGTAGACTATTCTACTCCTTAATGCAATATCTTTAAACAGAAATACATTATTAAGTATACCAAAACTAATGGACTGTATCTTTGTTAATAATTGTCCGATTTTTTTTTTTTTTTTTGAAAAGTATTTTGAAGGTACAGTTTGTGTCATTTCGTGTAGTTTATAAGGCCCTATATCCCTGCAAAATTTCGTGTGAATAGGTGGAAGAATATTGAATTTATAACACTTTTTGTGATTTTCGAAGTAAAATCAAAGGGAGGTATCTTATGTCGAATTTGTAGAAAAAGTTTTTTTTTTCGATCAGAATAATAATTATGAAAACAACAAATCATGTCTTGGAAAATGGAAATCTCTATCAGATTAATGTCTCGTATAATGAAAAGTGACCTTAGGATGCGAGCATTTTGAAGAATGAAAGGACAAAGGCTAACCATTTTCCTAAAAAAAAATTAGAGAGGATAGATGCAAAGTGCTCCTTGGCCTTTACTCCAATGGTCTTCATCGAAAGATTTTGTTTAGCGATGAGAAAATTTTTACAATTGAAGAAAAATTTAATCGCCTCAATGATCGAGTGTACGCACACAGGTCTAAAAAAGCCTAGGAAGTGATTGGAAGGAAAGAGGTCATCACCCTTCCTCAGTGATGGTTAGGTGGAAAGTTTGCTTTGTGAAAAAGGAGTAAAAACAGCCGCTAAAAAATATCAGGACGATATTTTGGAACCTGTTGTCAAGCCTCTAAATGATACCCTGTTTGCTGGAAGTCATTGTGTTTTCCAGAAGGATTCCACTCTAGCTCATAAGGCCAGGTCAACTCAAGAGTGGCTGCAACAGAACATTCCAGAGTTCATCTCTGCCTCAGATTAGTCCACAGGAAATCCTTGTCCCAACCCACTAGATTATTTGCTTTGGTCCGAACTGGAGAAGATGGCATGCCACAGAGCACACCCTAACTTGGAAAGCCTCAAACAATCTCAGGTCCGAGTAGTGAGCGCTTTTCTCAAGAAGTGCTGCGTGCTGCTATTGATGACTGGCCACGGACGGAGATTAAATGCCTTTGTCAAGTCGATAGGGAGACATTTTGAGTAATTTCTTCTTTTTTTGTTTCACTCTCTATAGATATATATTTCATTTTCTAATAAAGTTATTGAAAAAATTAATTTTTCGGTTGAAATTTGTATATATGTCATAGTAACAATACTTATGACAGGAATAGGTACATTAAATGCATGAAGGAAAAGGATAGCTTCTAAGGTGAGAGTTCTCACTTGGGTATACTATTTTTGAATTTTTATTTAACCACTTTTTGCATATTTACAGTATATGGAAAATTATCAATTAAGATTTTAGCTTTAAAGGCAATGCTTTTTTTAGAGAAATATTAATCGATACGTCAGTCAGCGAATAGCATCTTTCTTAAATTAATTCTAATGTTTAATATAAACTCGAGATTAGATAAATAAATATTTAATACTCACTGGAATTGACCAACTGGCCAACGAAGGCTAAGAGGTTGTGGAAGACCTCCCTTGGAGGGGTGGACTGCTGAAGGAAATTGGTAATGGCGCTTCCAACGCTCGCCCGCAGCAGGCTGTACTCAGCGTCCTGGCCCCGCATCGCTGTCATGAGGTTGAGGGCAAGGAACGCCTCAGCTTGCATCACCGTATGTTCCGCCTGAGACATCCGCACCAGGCATTCGACACATCCCCTCCCGACCATTTTACCAATCACGTCACGGTCTCTATAAAAATGAATGTAAAGTAATTAAAATAATTTAGTAGTTGTAAAAACACTGAAATAATTAAATTTCAGCTCAAATAGCGCTTTTTAATTTACACTATAAATATAACACCTTTTCTGGCTCTCATGAGCCAGATATTTAGATGAATGAGGTATTTTGATGAAAGGGAATTTCATGGAGAATTGACCAACCAAAGAGTGGAATAATGAAGTTATTAAGCGGACCCTACACGGTAATTCATGAATGAACGTCACAAGAATGGCAAAGATTGCTCGGGATCGCTTTGATCATGCAAGACCCCTACATGTTTAATCATTACTTATCATTGCTGAAGCCAATTTAGCTCAGTTGTAAACAAAGAAACATTATAGATAAGCTTATTAGGACATTGTCCTTTATAGTATTGGACATCAAGAGAAAAATAGAGATATAATAATTAATTCCTAGTGCCTGAAAATCGTAAAGACCAAAGTTAGAAAAATATAAGTCAACTACTTATAAAAATTTAGGAAAAGTATTGCGAAAATAATCAATTTGTTAAGAAAAATGGAAAAATTAATGACAAACAAACACAACAGTTAAAGATTTTTTTCAATAAGTAAATTGTGAAGTTCCCACTTTTTTTTTTTTTTTCAATTTATTGCCTACTTCACTATTTAAAGAAAAAATAGTTGAAAATGGTTAATAAAAATATAAACTAGGGATATAAACAACTATTTACTTTTATGAAATTATTTGCTTAAAAATGAGACTTAGGTAGACTATCTAGTAGTAAGATTAGTCTCATAGAAAATCGTTTTGACAAAAGTTAGTAAAATATAAGTCTACTACTTACAAAAATTAAGGAAAGGTATTGCAAAAATAATAAATTTGTTGAGGAAAATGAGAAAAGAACTGACAAATATACACAGCAGTTAAAGATTATATTTTTTCTTTAAGTAAATTGTGAAGTTTCCACATTTTTTTAAAAATTTGTTGCCCACTTGACTATTTAAAAGAAATAGTTGAAGATGGTTTATAAAATATAAACAAGGGATATGAAAAATTACTTAACTATTTACTTTTAATGAAAATCAGAAATTTACAATGGTTGTGAGGCCTAGGTAAACTAACCTATCCAGTAGTATGGTTAGTCTCCCCACTACTTCTATCTCAGTCCCCCATCCACTTCTCGAGAATGAACCTTTGATTTCCGGATATTCGGAAATCCGCCACACACCACCATCAGTACTTCATTCACTACCTTACACGATAATTCGGAATGTCATTAGTGCCTTAGAATGCAATTCCGAATGACTGTGTAGGGTCCACTTTAGAAAGATGGCAAGAGGTCATTAATAAAAATGGAGGAAACATTATTGAATAAAATTTATTGTTTGTTTGAAAAAAAAAAAAAACTCATTTTATTTAACCCTTCAATAACGGAACGAACTTAAGGATCCATCCAATACATATTGCATATATAAAAACCATTTTAAGTTTTATCTAAGAATTCCAATATTATAACTTGATATTCATTAAATGTATTCATTCCAGAACCTAATAACTATAAAAACATAATCAGTATATTAAAATAATAACCGAACCTGCTGTTTTTAACGATCCACGCCAGCAAACGATTGGCTTCGCCTTGAACTCCAGGATGGTCGTCTGTGAAACACCATTCGACCAACTTATCGATGATTTCTTCTTTGCTACCAAGTTCAGAAGCTGCTTCGGCTATAATTAACATAGATCAGAATTACTTAAAACGATTTCATGACAATTTATAACCTTAAAACATTTTAAGATTCTATAAACCTTGTAGTACGTCCAACATAACATGTTGAATTGGCAAGTAATTATTTTATTTCATTTTTTTTTAAACTAGAATTTCATGTTTTCTTTACAGTATTTAAATTCAGCATACCAATCAAAGTCCCCATAATAATTATCAAGCCACTATTTGGCTTCAACAGTATTTTTACCCATCAAAAAACAGTGTTTAATCAACACACAAAATTCCTTTCTAGCCATTGTCTTGAAAATTATAAAACTGGTGTCAATAAAACGGCAGCAGCCTCTACACAAATTGTCGGAATGCCATGAAATTTTGTACATACTGATTGAAGGCTAGTACTACCTGGAAATCACTTAGGTCTGTCAACAATGTTGCCATCTATTTGTCAGACCGGGAACTTACTGAGTTATGTGTTATATACTAGTCGTTGTTTTATTTAACTTAATTAGTTTTTTGCTCATTTTTTTCTGTTTTACCATTAACAGTTTCATGACACTGGGGTGAATCGGATCTCCACGTCCGAAATACTAGACTGACACACCTCCATCTCATAACAAAAGATCTTATCCCCAGATGTCAAAAAGTGTGACCAGTCACTAACCACAAAACATGTTTTGGAAGAGTGCCCTTTTTACACCGCAAGGTTAAAATATTTGGAATACCCCAGAATATATCAGCATCCCTGGGAAATCAAGAAGAAATCGTTACCAAAGTTCTCAAGTTTCTAGATAATGAAAGACTTAAACAACATATATGACAAGTTTATAAATTACGATCCTTTGCAGATTTATTATTATTTTATTTTAAAAGTTCATTTGGTCATTAATTTCAACTCATTTATTGATTTATTGCTATTTTTAAAAAAAGTTTATCTATTTATCTATTCCATCTTATTATCAATAAGTGTCTATTGTTATTTTTATCTATTTTATTCTATTAATCCTTTTATTTAATTATTTTTATCCCTTTTTTTCTTTCTTATTTTTTGTACCAACCTCCTAAACAGTATAAAAGTAGTATTATTTAGTTGATCGGGCGCTGATGACCTGGATGTTTTTGCGCCTAGACATCCAAACAAACAAACAAACTAGTCGTTGTACCTCACAGTATCAAATTAAAAAAAAATTCAATGACCAGATAGCTTCTAATCATGCAAAAAAAAAAAAAAAAAAAAAAAAAAATAGACAGATAAAATGCTAAGTAGTCGAATAAGATCATTATAAGTTTATAACATCATACTTGTATTTCTATTAGATTAAAACAAATTAAACAAAAAAAAAAAGCATAACTTACGCTGTCCATCGATGACCATCCTAAGGGATCCCAACAGTTTAAAGACAACAGGGAACGTCGGTATGCTGAACATTGGATAAATATGTTGCAGCAGACCTTGCTGAAGTACTGTTCCTTTGTTAACAGCGGGAATGACGAGGTTCCTATAAAAGCATTCTAATTAGAAGAAAGTTAAACTTTAAGTTCAAGAAACTTAAAACAGTATATTGAATAATTAATAGTTGACCGTTGCATTATAAAGGAAGGAGATGGTCTGGGGTGGTGGTCATAAATAGGTTGAATAGTGGCAAAACTATTTTATTAAAAGCCAACATTTCGACCCGACTTTGCAGGTCTTCTTCAGGGCTGGAACTGACAAGATACAAAAAGGTAGAGAATTCTGGAAGTTACATAATATTAAGACAAAAAATTATAAACAATGTGAATAAGCTTATTAGAATTATAAACAGTAAGTACATTAAAATATAAACAGAGTAAGATAAGTAACAAGACCCTAAACTGACGTAAATAGATGGTAACAACTGTTGCAGTGCAATACATAATATATGCAAATATGAATATACATCTACAGATCTACAGGTGAGATTGAAAGAAAACGAAAAAGGATATAATTTTCTTTCTCCACATTCCTTTATGTCTATTATTTCATATTATATCCTTTTTCCTTTTCATTCACATATATTATATATTACACTACAACAATTATTACCATCTATTTACTTCAATTTAGGATCTTGTAACTTAGCTTACTCTGTTTATATTTGAATGTACTTACTGTTTATAATTTTAATAAGCTTATTCACATTATTTATAATTTTTTATTATACTATTATGTAACTTCCACAATTCTTTATCTTTTTGTATCTTGTCCGTTCTAACCCAGAAGAAGACCTGCAAAGTCAGGTCGAAACATTGGCTTTTAATAAAATAATTTTTCCACTATTCAGCCTATTTATGACCGCCACCCCGGACCATCTCCTTCCTTTAAAACAGTATAAGTTACTAATTGTCCTGCCAATAAACCAAATAAGCTAATGAAAGAAAATTTCATAGAGAAGTGATGAATGCCAATTTCAAAACAATATTCTTACTCCAACTAAAATAGAGATCATTAAAAAAATTCAGAATTTCAAAACTCATATGGTTTAAAAAGTTTAGCACGGATATCAAGACCATTGAAATACAATGGAACTATTTTTTAGCTTTAATGTCTTGTTCTTGAGATAAATCATAATTGTTGCCAGTCTAGCTTGGTGATATGGTTACCAAGGGATAATTATCAAACATTTAAGTTTTAAAATACTGTTATTATTATTCTTAGGTATTGAAATATTGTTATTTATGATGCCCTTAGACAACCGTGATGGAGCGAGGGGGCGGGGTGGCCGAATAGGCTAAAGCGTGTGTAACAGCACTGCTAGTTGCCTGGCAACCGGATAACAGAGATTTGAGATGATATAAAAAGTACGAGTTCGCGTCCCGGTGCCGGAGGGGATTTTAAATTCCCGCCCTCACCCCCCGGCCCGGGAAAATCCCGAATAGCCTAAAAGGCGAGGTAGGGAAGAACAAAAATGTGATGGAGCAAGCCAGAGGCATATTGATGCGGAGGACGGGACTGACCTAGACGAAGAGCATCTTCCCCATCTGATGGAAGAGGATAATTACCCCCACTTCGTAGAGTTCGTGGGAAAATGGAGGCAAAAGGTGGAACCAACTCACTTCTCAATAGGGAGATGATTTCCACGAGCAGGCCATAAGAAAGAAGCAGCATCAAACTGTTGGAGGAAACTACCCAGGAGGGCAAGCTACGCAACCAGCTGGAGACTAAGGTGCGGTCCCATCAGTAAGGCGCACACCCGTGCACCGGGCCGCACCGCAGTGACATAAAATAAAATAAATAGCATTAGTATTAAGAGTATTGGCAGCATTAGCGGTACGTATTCCCAACGTATCAATGCACTGCTGAAACCCCGTATGGCAAAAATGCCAGGAAGGGGGTCAAAAAAAAAAAAAAAAAAAAGATGCCCTTAGACAAACTGAAAATCTATTGAAAAAGCAAATTAAGCCAGATAGCTCTGTAATTCCAAGGGCATTTCGGACAATTTTGAAATGTATTGGTATTTGCAGTAAAAAAAAAAAAAAAAAAAAAAAATATCCAGATAAGGTTTCTAGATTCTCAGCAATAGACCTGTATACTTTTCGTAAGTGAAAGAACTACAAATCACGGCTCTGAGCTCTGAACAAATAGGTCTTGAGCGAATACATCAGTATAACATTGTTATCCTTATGGGACTTTGTCCCAGAATAAAGATGACTTTCTATCTATAAGTTCAGCGACGGCTGTGTCTTATAATTCAACTATTAAACTGGAGGAATATTATCCAATAGTACAAGTTAAGCACTTATTAAGTACAGAACAGCCTCAACAATCCAGGGGGTGGGGTGATCGAGCAGGCTAACTAACCTGTGTACGCTGCACCACGTTGCCCGGCAACAGAAGTTGTAAGATAAAATAATTACGAGTCCACATCAGGTGACAAGAAAGGAGGAAAGATATGAGGGCTTTTAACTCTCTGCCCTAGGAAAACCCCGTATGGCCTAAAAGGCGAGGAAAGGAAGGACATGAAAAAAAGTCTCAATAATCCTCAACTGTCAATAAAGTCTCAAAAGTTAATGAAGGAAGTATCATGGGTGATAAATATTAAAGACGCAATCATTTAATTGAATGACTAAATCCTGAATACTTATCACCCAAAAAAAGTTAAAGCTGACTGACGAGAGACGACAGAATGGAAAAGTAAACAGATTGTGATAGAAGATAATAAATGAGTGGATAACAAACTGGTAAAAGTTACATTTGATAACTGAAGGTTAACAGATAAAGAAAATTATGGTTGACAATTGAAGCCCTTTTGTAGCCCTGATGAAGACCAACAAAGTGGGTCGAAACGTTGGCATAACAATTAAAAATACTATTTTGAAAATTTTGTATTCATTTGAGCTATCTAATGTGAGAGCTCTCACTAGTGTACACTAGTTTATATAAAAATAATACCTTAGAGCGCTGAGGAGAGCATGCTGCAGACGAATCTTGGCATCAGATGTATTATTTAGCTCGAGCAATTGTAGCAATTTCCGACTAACTCCCTGATTCACCATTTGGATGCAATGCAAATCTGATGATTAAAACATTATTTAAAATTTCTAAAAATAAATGCGTATGTATACAAAGAATTAATTCAAACATTTATTTATCATTACCTGTGCGAGCAAAGTTCGCCATAGCCAAAACAGCTGTGACTTGCAAATCGTCATCGGTTGAATCGAGCCAATTGACTAAACCTTCGAAGACTTTACCCCTTCCACTCCCATAAGCTATTTCCATGCTAGCATCTGAAAAATAAAAATTAAAAATGATATGACCCAGATTCATATAAAACATCGTTTTGAGGATGACATATTAAAAAAAAATATCTGGTGTGTCCACTCACACGACTTTCCTACCTATTTCAGAAAAGTTTTTATATCTTTACAAATGTTCATGAAGAAACAAAAAAGAATTGAACTAGATACATTTTCCTGAAAATTGATCAAACATAAGATTTGAGTACGATTTATTTGATAAAACTAAAGCAATGTAAACCGGCTTAAGATAGATCAGCGTAAAAATTTCAAAACTTCCTAATATTGCTGATTAAAAACTTTATGCCATAGCTTAGTATTGTCAAACAAAAATTTCTGTTAAAAGTAGAGGAAATAGTGAAGATTGTGTGATGCGGGCAACAGATTTTCTTACTTTCACTTAGTCATCTTTATTCTCTTATCCACCCCTTTCTGACACCAGGATATGAAACCGTAATCTTACATTGGAAATTGAATATCTGTAACTTCGTTAATAGTTGTCCAAAATGAAAGATTTTTAGGTGGCTTTGTAGGGAATTTCATTACCTTTCAAACGACAGGCTAAACGGTGTATTTTCCGAACTCAGGAGGCAATACTTTCATTACCTAGTATAGGTAGGAAAGTAATAAGTTAAAAAAATGTGTAAAAAAATAGAATAAGCTGTATCATCGCTAATACTGGTTCGATTCCGATGATTTTTTTTTTTGTTTTGTGGGTAATTTAAATACCTTTCAAAAGTTTTATTATAAATTTTACCATATAATCTATACTAAGGGAGTCAGGCTCTATAACATTTTTCTTTTCTTTATAACTTTTTTTCCTGAATTTTTTCAGGAATTTAGTCTATATACGAAAATTGAAAAATCAATGACTAGAACATTATAGAAAAGTTTCATCAAAATCGTTACAGCCGTTTTTGCGCTACAGTCTATAGAAAAACATGTTTTTCATTTATTGCATGCAACCTATTGTGCATGGAGCAACGAATTTCTATCACAGGCATCAGTAGTCAAAATCCTACAAAATAAAAAAAAGAAGCAACAAAATCGGTTCAGTAGTTCCCGAGAAAATCTTGGCACAGACAGACAGACGAATGGCTAAAAATGTGTTTTTCGGACTCAGAGGGCTGTGAAACGTATAGATCCGTCGAAAACCGTATTTCGGAAATTTGACCCGATTGCAATACTTTCCTTACCTAGTATAGGTAGGAAAGTAAAAAATCAGCCAAATTACGTAATTATCTATAACAGGTTAGCTACCAGATCGTTGAAGTAAAATTCCCTGAAATTTCTCTATTTAATGATAGTTTTCACTGACCAATATGTCTCAGAACATAAATATTAAAAACGCATAGTTTATAACTAAATTTATTTATTATACATGAAAGAAAATTGACTAAAAAATTATTTAAGAAAAAAAAAAAATCTTTTAAATGACAAATATACGTTATAGAGGAAACATTTTTCAAGCTTGGTTAAGATTCTTATTTTATAAAACTAAACTTTAAGTAATTTATTTTTTATCACCTTAAATTTATTTTCATAAACTGATGTTTATCATATATTTTACTCTGATTTTCTCTATTATAAAATAAAGTGAGCTACGGAAGATTCTAATATTAATGTAGTTTCTCATAAGTAATTAAGTTTCTTTATTACTATAAACAGCATAATAATGAGTGCAATAGTAGCCTGGTTCAAGAATAAATTTGTAAGTCTTTCAACAGTTTGAAAAAATTTCTAGACCATTCGAGACAGCATTCTGAATGTGATAAATCTTTTAAATTCCAAAAATGATGATCTACCAATGACAAAATTGGTTCTTCTCAATATTCCGTTTACAGGATTAAGCACATTATACTCAAAAAGACCAAAAAATATTTAAAATCAATTCGCGATCCATTTGATGAACCTCAAACTAATAATCAAGGAGCCCATGGCAAAAAAGATGTCATATTTCATATTTAGGTTTATCCTTATAAATTGGTAATATCCTTAGGCCTGACGAGAAAAATGCATGTCTGCCAGCATATAACTGCTGCTATACAAAATGGCAGCAAGGTGAAGATAGATAGAGACCCTAAATAGGTAGAAAACGAAAATCAGAAATGATTATATTAGTTTTTGTCGCATTTTTAATCATCATTTGACTCGCTAACACCTTATCTTTTCATTTTACGAAAAAGTCATGCTCAAGAAAGTTGTTTAAAATCAAATTTTCTTTAAGAATATATATTAAACTAGTAGGCCTGTACGAATAATTCGCAGAAAATTTTGTTTAGTGAAGAAATAGCAAAACAATATGGAAATAAGTGGTTCCTATTTATTATGTAAGGAAGGAATTAATATTTTTTCCTTGGTCAATTACAATATTCCATTAAACATAATAGACAAAAATATTTGTACAAACTGTTTTGCTAAAACCTATTTTTAAACGCTGACTGGAAAGATAATAAAAATTATAAAGACAAAATAATGCTCGATCATGTGATTTTCTAAATTATTAAAACAATAAAATGTAAGAACAACCAAATGTCTTTAAGAAATAATAAGGTTAATATATCAGCCAGGAAAAAAGTGTAGTAGACTATTCTACTCCTAAATGCAATATCTTTAAACAGGAAAACATTGTTAAGTATACCAAAACTAATGGACTGTATCTTTGTTAATAATGGTCCGATATATATTTTTTTTTTGTAGATAATTTAGTAATCTTTGTAATTAATGGATACAATCAAGAAAAAAATACATACTTTTTGAGTTATTCGCAAATAAAGTTTCTCTTCCTTCATAACTTTTTTCCCAGAAATTTCTGGAGGATAGGACTATTTTTCACATGTAAATGAGAAGAATATTTTTAAAATGAGTGGTCAATCATTGGATTTTATGAATATTTGACGAAGTTATGTCGTACCGACAAAAAAACATCTTTTAGAAATAATATATAGGATTACTATCTTATCTTCAACCATTCAAAAGCCAGAGCAATTATAACTTAATGATTAAACTCTGAAACTATACAGAAAAACTTTTTTTAAACTAATTTTTCACAATTACACAGCTCTTAATCTGTATACAAGACAACATACATGTGTGTACATTGGCTTATATAACATACATATATATACAGATTAAGAGCTGTATGATTACAAAAATTAGGAAAAGTAAGTTTTTCTATATAGTTTCGGAGTTTAATCATCCAGTTATAATTGCTCTAGCTTTTGAAGAGTTGAAAATAAGATAGTAATGAAATATAAATTCTTAAAGAAAATTTAATATTAAACAACTTTCTTCCAGATGACTTTTCCATAAAATGAAAAGATAAAGATTTAGAGAGTCAAATTATGATAAAAACGAAAGGAAAAACAATTTTGTTTCGAAGTTGGTGAATTACAAGGATGGATATCACAGAACCTATAGAATATAGCGAAAACATTAATATGATCATTTCTGTTGCAAATTTTGTAAGTTTTAATTACACATATAACATAATAATCAATAGAACGCATAGTTTCACTGATACAAGCGATGAATGTCTTAAGACTGTAAATATTATAAATTGAAAGGATTGGTAGCTTTCTATATCTAGAAGCCCTCTCTATATATACATATTCTACCTATTTACTACCTATATAGATAGCAACCAATGAATTAGTGACTGTGGTTTTTTATAACGATGTTTACTCCTTTAAGGTCATCATAAACGATATCCAGTGCATATTTATTTCCAATTAGAGAAAATAACTTTTTCAGGTTGGTCTCCGTCCTGAAAAATGAGTTTGTCCATTCATAAGAGAAAGCTATTTTTGAAAGTAGTGGAGAAAATTTGATAAAATTGATATCTCCTTGATAATTTGTTCACCAATCACTAACTTCCCTCCAACTTTAGGTCAAACTGTCTGGTTTTTGAGATAGACATGTATAAGGTAAGAGGAAATAGAGGATGGAATTTGATACAATCGATGGAGCACCTTTATTTGATTAATTCCCTACTTCTATTCAACTTCAAGCAAAATTGAACAAGCTGGTTTTAAAAAAATTGGCATATACAAAACAGAAAATGTGAGAAGAAATTTTTGACTCTGAGCATAAATTAAAAAAAAAAAACTATTAACAATATTAGTTATGATAAATACCTCCATTCAGAATGATGACGATGAGATCACATGCCATTTTTAATAAATTCCTAGTTTCATCATCGTCTGCTAGTTTTCCATGTTTTTCCAATAGCTCAATAAGAAGTTCGCACAGACCTGCTTTAGCAAGATGTAGACGTACATCTTCTGAAATACCAATATCTATAATTAATATATATATAAAAAAAAAGAAAAGGCAACAAACACATGAGATAATCTTATAGAATTGTGACATGTACCGTTTTCAGCTTGACTATGGAGCAATTCCACGCACAGTTCACTCAACTCCCCGTTAGTAGATTCTGCGAGAACTTTCACGGTTGCTTCACACAATTTTTCAGTTAAGCATACGGTTCCAAGACCTGTAATATTAAAAATTTTATATAAGATAATCCTATCAAAGTAATTAAACAATTTAAGATCTAAGTGAGTTTCAACCTAATCGTAATTAGGTACTAAAAACTCGAATATACCCATTTCGTTCCATTTGGATGGTAAGATGATTTGATCACAAAATCAAGAAAAAATGTGGCACGGAAAAACATTGGATCGTTAGGCCTATATTACCTCGAAATTTTGACATTTTGGGGGTGTGGATCATGCTGAGCCGCTCAATTTTTTTTATGGTTACCTTTTTTCTCGATTTTGCGGTCAAATTATCTTACTAATCAAGTGGAAAGCTAATGGGTATTTACGAGTTTTTAGCACCTAATTAAAAATACGAAGTTTGAATATTTCCAGATTGAAAACCTCCCAATAATGAGAATTTTTGTTAATGAAATATTTGTAGGTTACGATGAGAGGAAGCTATTTACAAAGTTAATAATTTGCTCAAAAGTGGTCCGTATACGCATCTATTTCTGTTGTGTCAAACTCATTCTTATAACTGCCAAAATTGGTTATCACACAATTAAAACTGAAGAAACATATTAAAGTTGAAAATAACGATTTTTACAAAATTTACTTTGAATTCTGAACCATACAAAATACACTGACATATTCCCAAAATTTTCGACTGGTAAACACCAACCCTTTCGTTCCAAAAAGACAATTATTTTACTTTCCTCAACAGGTCTTATGAAACTACAGCAAAATATGTGGTTTTGAACAAGATATCAAACTATCGTTCAAAACTGTTTAAAAAAACAGTTGTGTAAGTCCAGCTTTAAACTTATTTTACATCTAATATTAAGGTAGGATAAACATATGACTAATAATATAATTAAATTGTTTTATATTAAATAATAGTAAGCTTAGTCAATTACAGAACAATCTTCAGGTAATAAAATAAATCAGTGTTATATTTTTTGATTTTATAAAATATCGGGCATATACGAGGCATGACCAGAAAGTGAGAATATTAAATTTTTCTATTTAAAAAATGTTACATTTCATTGAAGTTATATATGTTACTTATTTTTCCACCTTGTTGTTTTCATGTTCATTACAGTTTTAAAGCTGTGGCACAAACATTTTGATGACAGAACCCCTACTTCCTCCCACTGTCTTCTTCCTTCACTTCAAGACCTCTTGTTTCATTTCCTCATCAGTTGAAATTTTTTCCCCACCTATGTGAGTCTTGAGAAAGGTGAAAAGATGAAGGCTTCATCTCAGGGTGGTTCAAAATGTCACAACCAAATAACTTCAAAAACGCTTGGGAGGCATTGATGTGCAACAAACATGCTCCCTTAGTCAATATTCTCCTCCGTTTGTTTTGAATTGCCCTCTTGAGATTTTGAAGGGTCTCGCAATATTATTGTGCATTAATCATTTCCTGAGACAACATTTTGATCAAAATGATCTCTTTATGGTCGATGGGGAACTTTTTTGACAGATGGGGAACCATTACGCCACCACAGTGATGACTGTCATTTTATCTCAGCCACTCATGTTACATCATTAGTCACAATGAAGATCAAACACGTGGCAGGATTTTTTACTGACATATTTCACGAAAATGGATACTACAAGCCAAGTTTTGGTACTAACAAGTTTCGCCACTGCCAGTTATTTTTAGGAGAATCCACATTACAACTCAGCGTTGGGAATTAAAAAAAAAATTTCTCACAGTGCGAGAGGACAACAGTACTCTTACTTTCTCAACACAACTTATATAATCAATATCCAACAGCATTAATTTAAACTGAACATTATACAGTGAAATAATTATAATAAATATCAACAATGCTACATACCAGTATCTGTAAGAAGGCCTAGGATAACATATATATGAATAGCTGTCTCTTCTGATTGTTTAGTATTCACGCCAAATGTCAATAAATCGTATAAAACCTCCATAACGCCCATATCAATCACCTAAAATTGAAAAAAAATACATTTTAAATTGTTTTTACATCAAGATTATGACCTATCCCTAATACAAGACTTATTAATTTAAAAACACATTCAAACCAATTATTGACATTAGAAGTATTTATATAAAGTAAATTAGAAATGAAACAATTTTTGACATTTTTCTAACAAATAAAACTGTTTTTCACCGAAGGAATTGCCATATTTGAATTTATCTTTAGCTTACTAAAACTATAAAGCTTACTAAGTTATGTTCGGATACATTATAAATTCATTTGTTTGGTACTATTAAATAAAATTCTCTAATATTAAAATTATGAAATGCTGTACTTCAAAATGTATAAATATTACTATACACTATAATTGTGGATAGAAAAATGGAATAAGAGATGTATTATAGTAGGAAAGCTCCAAACACCACTCAAAACAACTACATATTAATTTATAATCAGTCCATGATAATAATTCATCTGGTATATTGTTCAATTACAGAATGGTAATATAACTTGAAAAGATGTAAATGTCATTAATATCATTCATTAATGAAAGATCTTTTATTTGTAATAATAGAATTTTTTTCCGTCATTTTGCTGCCCACTGCAAGGTAGAGTTTTTCATATATGCATTTAAAAATATCTTTTTCTAATGTCCATCAAAGCAAGACATGTGTCTTGGTGGTCTGCATCCATTCTTTCTTGACTACATAGTTTACACCTAGGATCCTCAGCCATGCCTATCTTATGGAGATAACTTTATAGATAATCGTGGTCAGTCACCAGGAGAAAGCAGGTTATGTCAGCTGGGAATCGGGTTTTCCATCAAACATTTATAACGTCTCCCTTCCACATTGTCTGTGTGTATTTCTCTTATTTCCTCCTCCACTACCATCCTCACCATTCATCAAATTGAATCTTAAACTTTTAGATGAACTGGTTGAGGCAATTCTGTCCCTACCTTGGCAATATTATTGGTTTCCTCATTTCTTGGAATCCCGTAATGAACCACGGAATCCACTGCAGGACCGCACTGGTGCCTCGCAGTGTTAGGTCATACAGGAAGAATTTGCACTTGAAGATAGCACTCGACAGAAATTCATTTACATTAGTAACAGCGAGGATGGTTGTTTTTGAGTTGATGAAGAGAACAGTGCTCTGATCTTGCCTTCCAGACAGTATCCTTAGAACTATGAGGATCGCTGCTATCTCAGCGTCACAATTCGTAACACCTTGTGGATTACCAGATACCAGAATGTGGAAATAACGTAAATGCATCCAAGAGTCAATGTTAAGTTAGAAGAAGTGTCATGTAATTCTATAAACATTCATGATGAATTTTAAATTATTTGTTTAACGTTCGTTGGTAGTGATGAACATAAATTTCAAAACGATTACTCCATAATTGGTATTAGTAAATTATGAACCAATAGGGTAAAAGTATTGATTTTATATGTATTTTATAAATCGATAAAACCTAATTATTTTTATTTGTAAAATTTAATTTTATTAATAAGTTTTGTCAAATGCAGCACTTATTGTCCTTAGCAACCAGAAATGAAATGGAGGTGAAAATTAATAGATGGATGTAATATTAAGGTTGCTATGGTAACTAAAGCAGAAAAGTACAAAAAAGTAATGTCTACTTCACGTTTATTAATTAGAACACGAGTTTATCATTTCTTTAAATATATTTTTTTACTAATTTTTATTATAAATATACTTAAAAACATATATTATTTAAATTAATACTTGCAAGGAATAATTTTTAAGAAATAATCAATTGATCAAGGCTTTGAAACTATTAAGGATACTTTTTTTAAAATCCTAACAACTTATTTTCAATGAATTCAATGAAAAAAAAACATTACAATTTTATTAAATTTTTACATTAAAGGTTGTGAAGGATTAATATTTCATTTCATTGTATCATTAAGAGAGAGTATTAATTTAATTGCCTTTAATAATAAGATAAAATAAATTTTCAATCAAATTAACAAATGATATGTAAGTTTTCCAAAAATGATAGTTTAATAAGTATAAAATTAAATAGTAAAAAAAACTTACAATCAATTCATCAATATTAGTTTAACTTTATCAGTTTAGTTCTTTTGAGATTAACAGTGAATTAAACAGGAAACTAAGGGAACTTTAAGATTCATTAAACTGTGCAGAACTAATGAAAAATTAAAATTTTCCTGACTACAATCTTACTAGTCTCAAAACCTACAGGTTAACCCATTACTTGTTGATATACATAAGGATGTTAAACCCATATTAACAAATTTCAAAAAGGAAAACTTCGTTTAAGCTATTCCTAAGATTATATTATACAAATATCTTCACTTTCAGATATAGTAAAAAAAACCATATAAGTGTGTGCATATCTCAGTTTTGGCATTTATAAAATGGATTTTTGTTTTTTAGAAATTATTTATTACATTATTTATTCACCACATACAAAGTTTATAATCAGCAGAAAAAAAATAGAATCAATATTATTAGTGAAAATAACAGATTAAATGCCCAATTGATGAAAATAGTGAATTGAGGTAATACGTAGACAATAATAAATCATTTCAGTAATTTACAGCACTAATAAAACAATAAGGGCTTAAACACTGAAATATTCATACATACCTTTGAATAAACATGTTCTTGAGCCATAATTACATTAAGTAAGCAACCAGCAGCATTAGTTCTTAGCTGTTCACAATCAGGTAAAGAACTGGACCGCAATACTTCAACAATTTCTGATAATCCATTGTCCTCAAATACAAAAGCTCTTGCATCATCTACAAAGGAATATATATAAATCTTAGTGCAAATATTGTAAGAATATGTTTATTGAAAAATGAAAGAGACATAGATACTTACTATTATCAAAACATATATTCCCAATAGCACGACAAGCTTGATTTTTAGCTTCTTTGCTAGGAGATGACAACAAATTTATAAGAGGGACAATAACTTCATTATTAGACAAAGTAGAACGAGGGGCTTCATTTTTACATAACTCAGCCAATGTTTCAGCAGCTTTAGTTTCTACTTCAACTATTCCACATCCAAGGAATGCAGCAACATCCTTAGCGCATTGGCATAGATCTGGTAAACAAAAATTTTTAATAACAATAATTAATATAAATCAGTAGTACAAAAAGAGCTTAAACAAAATAATAAATACCTATACTGTTGCATTCATCTTGGTCTAGTTGTGTAATTATGTTATTGAATAAATCCAATGCATGTTTATTGTCTTCTTTAAGAAGATCCATGTTCTCTAACAGCAAAGGTAGCTTTTCTACATCTAAATTAAAATAACATTGAATTTTATGAATATACAACGAGAATCATAGAAAAGAGGAATATCATCAGACGGTACCTGCCATATTCTAGGCTTACTACAAGACAAAGAAAAATAACTGCGATCGAGACTAAACGATCAACACATAGCTTCACCGACTGCCTTCAAAACTGAATCCAAATCCATGACTGCTACCCGATCTAGTACAACACTACCTGTCTACAGACCCCAATGGTTTAGCCAACTTAACGGCTATTAAACATTGCAGATCAATAAATAATAATACAATTAACAATTTCAATGATTTTCAACTTTATTTAGAAATTAATATAGATATTATTTTATAAGTTTCATACAAATAGTAAACATGTATTTTAAGCATTAAGCAATTATTGTTTTAGTCACTAGCGGATCCAGGATTTAATTTTTGGGGGGGGCTTCAGCCCGAAGGATTTTTTTATGTATACAGTGTTTTGGGGATAAGTGGGCAAAATCGCAAAAATGAACAAGGATCTTAAAATAAGAAAAAAATTTCCTCTGAAGGTATTATTGCCTTAGAATATACCTAAAGATTTTCGTTGTTATGAATTATCATTTATTTGTTCTAACTACTTTATTAATTAAATGTAAACATTAACTTTCATATCAAATGTTGTTCAAAGTGATTGCCTTGAGCATTAAGACAGGCTCGGAATCTTTTTTCAACCGCAGCAGTGGCAGAACGGCACTGGATATGTGTTATTGTTTCACAAGATTCAATTATCCTTCTTCGTAAGGAATTAAGGTCATTGACCGGACTTGCATAGATTTTTTATTTAATGTCACCCCAAATAAAAAAATTCAAATTGAATCAGACAATTATTTTTGAAAAACAAATCATAACTAAGTTAACTTATTTTAAACCTATGAAGCTTATTTTTGAAGTGAAAACTTTTATAGGTGCGTTTTGGATTTTTTTGCGGAGAGTGAATTAGATTGAACCGTCAGATTCCCGTTATGTAACGCTCGGGTAAAGCCCGCTGGAGTCGATTTAAAGAAGCATTTTTGCATATGGATTAAAATATCTCAAAAACTAAAAATTACTACAGATATTGAATATCAATCCCAAAACAACTGGAATCACTGTAAACAAAAGCTTTCAAACAATAATTCTCTATTAAACAATAAACAATAAAGGTTTTATATTCACTCTTCCTACATAAATTGAGGAAATGATGATAATGACAATAACATATTTTTTTTTAACGATTAGATTAATTTGAAACGAAAAATTAATTTTAAATTTTCCTAACTTAGAATTAAATAAAAAATAACAAAACAACCAGTTTAAAACCAATATAAAATTTATAATTAATTAATAAATTGCTGTACTGAGCAACACTGCAGTATCAGCGCTGCCATTTTATGTTGGTGACTATGCTTAAAATTTGGTTTGTCTAGCAAGATGGATGAAATTGGTATCGTTCTCCCCGAGAAAGTAATTTTATGTTTATTTATGAAAAAAAAGTTATTTTAATGATTTGAATTTAACTTTATTTACCTTTCTTTGGTTAACTGGTGCTTTCCAAAGATTGCTGTGGTAAAGACTTAAATCAGACAAATTGATAATCTTTTAAGACATGGATTTATTTATTTTTGTAGGAAGAAAACAGTCAAGATGGAAAGTTAAGTACCATACTAGGACAGAATTTGTCAGATGACAGTGATAGTAGTGATTTATTCACCAAGTTTAAGGTAGTGGAAGCATTTTGTTTAATATGTAAACTGGTGTTCCTGATATTACTTGTATTTTGATGTTCAATTCTCTTTTTGCCAACAGAAATTACAAAGGCAGCTTGAATTTTTAGCTGTTCAGGAAGAGTATATCAAAGATGAACAGCGAAATTTGAAGAAAGAATATTTGCACGCTCAGGAAGAAGTCAAACGAATCCAGAGTGTTCCTTTAGTTATTGGTCAATTCTTAGAAGCAGTTGATCAGAATACTGGAATCGTCGGTAGCACTACAGGTAAGTCCTACAATATTTTGTTAGGAATGTTAGTGTTAGACTTAATGACTTAATGTTGTTATCAGATAAGCATAGTAAGAAATTACCTAGATAACTTACTTAAGTGTATGCATTTTTTGATTAATTCAGGTACAGTTTTGTTTTACTTGTAACCGAGACTTATACCAGATCTTTTATAAAATATACATATACCTGTCGGTATTGAATTATTAACTACAGTAATTGATTGCAAAGTTAAAGAGATAAACCTCTTTTTAATTTCTGTTTTAGAAGGTTAGGAATTTAAATTATATTACTAAGGAATATCTTTTCATTAATGGAATATTATTATTTACAAATTTTGTTTGCATTGGAATGTTAAAATTATTGAGGTTAGGAGTTACTTCCTTCTACTTATTGGGTTTATGTTTATGTTTGTTCTTCCTCCCTTACTTCGTCTTTTTTTGACTAAATAAAGTTTTGTAATGGCTTTAGGGATTTATTATGAATTGAGTAGACTTTTATTATACCTTTAAATATGTTTCTCTGCCTACAAATAAGATTGATTCAGTTATCTTTTACAATCATTTAAAATTGTATTTCTTAATTATGAGTTGCTCTTTTTAAAGAACCATTATAATAATTATTGATTTTCTTAATCCATAATAGTTAAGAGTCATAACCAGCTTGGATGGCAGAGGGAGGTTATCCTTTTAAGTTTACCATAGTCATTGTAAATAGCAAGGCAAGCCAACTTGACTAAAGTTTTTATTTACATTATTATTACTTTTATAATTTATTTTTGCTCATGTGTAAGCAAATTTTGTCTATTTTTATACTTTCATTTTCGACAATTAGTAATTCATTTACTTATATAATTATTCCCTGCCAGAACAGTTATTTTTGTTGAAGTCATAAATAATGAAATCATCATACAATGGATTATATATTATTCCTGGGTATTTCTTATAAAATTTACTCTTATGATTTTTCTTTTTTTTTCTCTTTGCTAAAGTGCACTGTTGCCATGAAGACATATTGTACGCCTCTATTGATGTCACTCCTATTCGGAGTGTTATTCCTGCAGTCTCTATAAACTGAAGTAGGCTTGTTGGGTTGACGAGCTTATTTTTCTTGGGATCAATCTAGTGGTGGGGTGTTCAGTAGCAATTTGTTTAATTTAAACAGTTTCTTTCATTAAAAAAATACAGTAAACTGTTTTACTCGAGATTAAACAGATACAAGGTTTACCTGGCATTAGAAGGGGATAAGTTGTTCTTAAAATCAGCGCTGAACTCATCGATGCCATCAAATAGATCTCTAAACACAGCAAAACGAAGCCATCGATGAACTCAGTGCTGAGTTTAGACTAACCTACCCAAGACTTTACAGGTTAGTGGTACAGTCGCTTAATAATATTATTAAGCCACTGTAGTTAGTAGGTGGAGACAGCGATCCCGACGGTAAAAGAGGGAACACTGAATCTGTTTAATTTAAACAGCTTCTTGCAATAGATACTCAAACAGATACAGCCCTCCATAGCAGGTACACTCCTCTGAAGTAGATATAGCCCCCTCCCCGAAGCAGATACAACCCTCTGCAACTGATTAAGGAACTGTTCCTTACAGCAGCACTATTATACTTTTTAATAGTTGTTTCTATGGAACCCCAGTTGTCACATTGTTGCCACCTATAAACAGCTATGCTGATTACTGTTTGGAGAATAGTTACAGCAACTCCTTTTGCTATCTAATGACTATTTGTTCATTATTTTCTCTAATAAATTTATATAATACCTTTGAAATATGTCATGATTCGAAATTATAATTTTTATGTCACTTTGACTTTTATCAACAATTATAAATACTTTTTTTTTTGTCCCACAGTTGATATAGTATGAAGGTATAATTAAACAACATTTTAATTGATAATTACTTTCAAGACAAAAATTATATTCATTCATTCGTTCACTTCAATCTATGAATAAATATAAATTTGTGAATTGGAAGGATTCAGTATCACTTTTGGTATAGCACTGTGAGGTGATGCATAAAAAATAAGAGATAGTTTGTTGTTTTTGTCCATTTTTCTTTTTTTCCATTTACAAGATTGTGTATATTTCATTTCTTACATTCCTCAATTTGTATACATATGTATCTTTTCCTATCTTAATCTCCATGTTTTTTTATAGTTTACAATACCATTGCGTATTGTATAACATATATAAATAATTTATTTTCTTTAAATCAGTTTTTTTTTTTCTTTCTGGTTGCAATTGTTTTATCATAAAATTAATTTAATACCCCTTCCTAATTGTATTTATCTATCTATTCTTATTTTATACCTCTTATGCTGAGATAATGCAATATTGTGATCCCGTTGCTCATCTTCTGTCATTAATATATTTTTAACATATGTATATATTTTGTATGTTTTAGCTGTTTGGTTTTTAACATAAGTAAATTTTTTTAATTTAAGTGCTTTTGATATATGTTTTCTTTTCTGGAGGTTTTGCTTTTTTCTTTCGATACATGTAATTCTTTTTTCTTTTTTTTTTATTATTTTTTCCAGTAAAATTATAAGTATAGTTAAGAAGATTTTATTTTATTTTTTTGGTAATTTGCATACTATTATTTAAGTTGTTCTATATATTGTTTGAATCTTTATTAAGTTAATTTTTGGCCAGATGTGTATTTTTTTCTTAATTTTGAAACAGTCAAAACTGTTTTTTTTTTTTTTAAAGTTGCTGAAACTGTTGCAACTGCTACTGATGTTAAACAGCTTTGCCCATCACTAGATCAATAACCAACCCTACCATTGCCGAATAAGGGAAATCTTAATTCAGCATAACTGTTGCACAAGCTAGGGATATGATAAGTTGTTTCATCCTCCTGACCGTAGGACCTACTAAGAGAGAACTCTGTTAGCCGGAGCTTAAACATGTGATATTTCAGTTTACAGTGCACAGTATATACATCGCTGTATATATATTCTTAAGAGAGCTGCTCAAGTTAATTAATAGGTTGTTTCTCTTTGAACAGATTCTATCCAGGAACAATCTTGAACCAGTCTATTTTTTCCCCATACCAGTATTTTTTGGCTTAAACACCATATATCTCTCCAATTCTATTGTTTATTAAACATAAACTAATTCCACATATAGGTTCGGGAGTAATGGGAGTCGTTTGTGAGCCTTTTCTAGCTAATTACTAATCCATCTCGTTACCATGAATGCAAGAGTGACATGGTACCCATTCAATGTTTACCTTATTGAATCTAGATAGGTCTTTAAGCATCTCCACACAGTCCTTAACAGCTTTAGATCTAGTTGTATAATTGTCCAGCGCTCATATTGCCGCTTGACTGTCGGTATGGATGGAAATTTTCATTCCCACCAATTAATTGAACAATATACAAAAAACTTAAAAAATGTTGGTTGGGTGTGCGGTCATAAAGGAAATTAAACACAAACAAAAAGCCTTGTGATTGTTGATTTTCGTATATATATTGAAGAGAGTTGGTTGGGGTGGTCATTCCAAGAAAGGACAAAGTAAAAATAAATAATTTACATTTTATTTCCTTTTGCCCACGTTTCAGGACTTCATCAGAGCTAAGAAAAGACAAGATGAAGTATAAATATTGAGAAACTAGTATATGTTAATAGTAATAATATGTAGGGAAAAGGTATAGTCTAGTAACATTTAGGTAGCTTAAACTTAACATGATTAAATATACAGAATGGCAAATATATGACAATAAAATACAGCAAGTATAAAATAAGAAGTTTTATTTTACTAATTGAGAAAATAATGGACAACAGTTATTTTGAAATTCCAATATTTTATATTAATAAAATTAATTCAATGAAATCTTGAAAATGGAATATAATTGAATGAATGCTAGAGGTTTTATATTTTTAAAAAATTTATTGTTCAGTTACATTGCCAGAATCAAATAGATTTCAACAAGTTGATGGAACTGAATTAACTATTACTGAAATTAATAAATTTATAAGAACTAAATTTAAGATTTACTGTACAAACAATTTTTAGAGTTAACTTAAAAGTTGTACAATCCACACTTTTTTTTTTCAGGTTCTAATTATTATGTGAGGATCTTATCGACGATTGATAGAGAATTATTAAAGCCTTCGGCCAGCGTTGCTCTCCACAAGCACAGCAATGCCCTTGTTGACGTGCTTCCGCCTGAAGCAGATTCCTCCATTTCAATGCTTCAAGCTGGTAATCGAATACATTTATTCTAAAATTATTATGAATAAAAATTGTACAAATGTTTTTTTAAATTAGGCTATCTGAACATCCATTATATGAACTTCATTTGTCATTAATTTGGGTTTGATCCAAGAGAAAGTAACTAAACTCACTGCTGAGCTCATTGATAGGCATCAGAAATCTATCAGGTCGTTCGTTAATCTATCTATCAATGGTTCACTGCATTCCTTTCCTCATCGATTGAATCACTGGTGGCTCAGAGGTTCCATCGGCTTTTGGATGTAAACTCATTATAACCTCAGTGTTGTTATTTCTCAATTTACTTTACATATTTATATTCAGTTTACTTTCTATCTGTACTTATATTTGTTTTGAAATTCAACAATTCAATTGGTAAATATTTCTTTGCATAGTTTTTAATTTTCATGTATTTTGTAATCGTATAGGAGCGATAACCTTTTTCATTTTTAGTTTAGGATCTTTTTCATAATGTGAAAAGTTATTTTTAATTTTTTTGTTTGAAAAATATATTGCCAGAATTCGACAATATAATGACATGGAAGAGTGAAGGAGTGATTTCAGTAACATCCTTATGCTGGTAACATGTTATCAATTTTTATGCTGTTTTCAAGTAATGCGTCATTTTAGACTTACATTATTTCGATCCTTCTACAAATCAGGAATATATTATTCTATTACTATTAGTATATAGACAGAGACTTGTCACTGAAGATTTGCATGAATCATAGTGAAGGGTTTCTCATCCCTCTATATAATAATAATAATTATAAAATAACATAACTGACACATCCTTGTTTGACAGTACTATAAAAAACATTTATTATACTTATTTGATATGGGTTGGTGTGGGAAAGGGCTGCCAAATCTATTAAGTTATGATTCGAGGGCTTCAACAGGTAATCATTTTTATTTAATCTTTGATCATTGGCAATGGTCTAGCCAACTTTTTATATTTTTAAGAAAAAATATTATAAAGCACTGATCGAACATAATTTAATAAAGTTAATATAATTAGGTTGTGAAAAATAACAAATAAAGTTCATGTTACGAAGTGGAAAGTAAAATTTAGAAATATAATATTATTTCTCAATTTATTTTACTTTAGGCACCCTCTCCCTCCCCTCCTCCCAAGTTGCCTCACTCTCTATGTTGATATTATTTTCGATTAATAATCACACTCTGTATTTTTTATTTTAGATGAGAAACCAGATGTTCAGTATTCGGACATTGGTGGTATGGACATGCAAAAGCAGGAAATTCGTGAGGCCGTAGAATTGCCTTTGACGCACTTCGAACTCTACCGCCAGATTGGTATCGACCCTCCTAGGGGCGTGCTGATGTACGGCCCGCCGGGCTGTGGCAAAACTATGCTTGCCAAAGCAGTTGCTCATCATACTACTGGTAATAAATTATTTTTATCATTTAATAAATTATTGATTTAAATCAAATAAACGAACATATATAGATATATACTTTTTAGCTAACATCATAAATATTTGGAATACAATAATAATAATGCTTTATTTATTCTGGGACGAGTCCCTTTAGAATAATACAGAGACAAAAATGTGGGCTAAGGAGCCTCAGAGATACATAAACAAGAATATAGTTTGATTAAATAGTAAAAAAAAAAATAAAAATAAAATATATAAATAAATAAAAAAAAATAAGAGAAATTATAAGTTACTTTCTAATTTACATCATTTAATAATAAAAAGTTGAAACTAAATATGAAGTAAAAATAATAAAGAACGATCTAATAATTTATATACATATTTACAGTAGTAACTATTTACAATTTTATGAGGACTGGATGAATAAGAAATGATTAAACAGTTGGGATTTAAAGGTAGGAAGGGTTTTGGATTGACGGATGTGGGGAGGAATGGAGTTCCATAGGGAAGAGGATCGAATAATAAAAGATTTATCGAAAGCAGCGGTTCAGTGGGCCATTATATATAAACCTGAAGAACGGGAACGAGTATTGCCGGAGTGGACTGAGGATTTAAATTGAAGGAGCTCAGAGATGTATGAAGGACCGCGGAAGTGAATTACTTGGAAAAGGAAGGATGCCAGGAAATACTTACAGCGGTAGGAAGGATAAAGCCATTTCAGCTCTTCATAGAAACAGGAAACAGGGGCATCTCTTGGGATCCCGAAGATGAATCGTACAAAGCAATTTATCAAACGTTTTAGTTTCGCCTCGAGATCCCCAGAGACGCCTCCATATACCGTGCAGCAATAGTCGAAGTGGGGAAATATTAAGGAGGTGACCAGGAGTCTACGGATTTCAAAAGGAAAAAGGTGTCACAGGCTATTTTAAGTGTTTTAGGGTGGGAAAGGTACATCGGGAGATATTGTACACATGGTTTTTCCAGGAAAGGGTTTGATCAAAGATTATTCCAATGTTTTTGATGGTAGGATAAAATTTAATGGAATTATCATGTAGAAACAGGATTGGAAATATACAGCAACAACAAAAAACAACTGCTTCATAAATTTGTTTCTGAAATTATACTTACTGGCTATGACAAAATTTAAGGTACACACTACAACTAGAAACTGGCACAGTTCTTTACTGAATATGGATTAAGTAAATTGTATTTTAAATGGTTTCACCTGTGAATACTGATACATGCAACTGTGAGATTCCAAAAACATTTTTTATATTCTATACCAGGGGTCTCCAAACTTTTTGGGCCACATTGGGACCTCGAATAAGTTCCACGAGCCGCATTGGGTTCTTCACTGAAGTATAAAATTATCTTGTTTTATTAATGTAACTTCAGCTGTGAAATGAGTTTTCCGAGAGACAAAAAAAAAAAAAAACATTCAATTAAATTTGTAGTAACCTCGTATATGAGTAATTTGCCAAATTTCATATTTTTAAATATTTTTTCAGATTTTACAATCTTGTTGTTAAGCTCCCTCTTAGTTTAAATCAAACTTCGAATGAAGCCTAACTATTGTTTAAACTAATTCTATTGTGATTTAAAAGAAAGTGGACTGTAAGCATTGAACATTTATTTTGAAACATTTACACCTATTAATAATAAAAACATAAAAAATAAAATGAAATCAATTTTACACTTATAATATTAAATTATATAATTAAAATAAAATAATAACTTCTAAAATGAAAATAAAGATAAGCTGAATACAATGCTAATAAAAACGATATTAGCATTAAATATTTTAAATAAACGAAATATTTTATTAAATAAAAATATTTAATAAAATATTTCGATGTTTGATTATGGAAATTATATGTAAATGGTCCAAAATTACAATCAATAATAGAAACAACAAACATATCAATAGTACAAAAATAATATTTATACAGAACAAAAATTAATAAAAGTTGTACAACATTACATGGTCGCATGCAGATGACAGTCGTAAAAGTGAACCAACCGCTGGCACTCCAATCCTCATACAGCGACCAAAGTAGATTTTTCATGAGCGCTCATATAATCAAACTGCAAGTGGGCAATGGCGAGCATGACCAGAGAAGTAAATCTCTTCAAAGGTGGACTACAGTGGGCAGTATAGCAGTTGGCAGCACTGGGCTCTGTGACGGACGGAGTCACACTGTGTACTGCCATGTCTACAAGTTTAGGACTTGTTTACAGCTAGGACTATAATCCATAATTCAAGTATTGACCAGTCTATTGAATATAAACAAGATAAGCTATGGGCTATCAATTCATGGGACCTATGAATACATATATATAAGTAGATCAGGATGTGCACGCCTTATTTGTCGACTTCCAAGCAACCTATGACTCCGTGGACAGATACCGTCTCTGGAAAAAGACTGAGCTGGGCGTTCCCGGGAAGTTAGTAAGGTTGACGAAGGCTTATACAAATGATCCTAAATGCAGGGTACTAATACAAGGAGAAGTATCTGAAGCTTTTGAAGTTCAAACAGGTTTGAGGCAGAGAGATGGACTCTCGCCAATGCTGTTCAACTTAGCACTAGAGAAAGTAATAAGAACAACATCACACGAAGATGGAGGGGTGCACGTTGGAATGAAACACAAAATCCTAGCATATGCGGATGATATAGCTGTCCTCGGAAGTAATCAAGAGGATATTGAGACTTGCTTGGACTCTGTTAAAAGAAGGAGAGCAAATCTGAAAGTCAATCAAGATAAAACAAAATACATGATAATTAGCCGAAACATCCACTCTAATAACATGATCTGTGTGGACTCTTAAGTCATTCCCGAAAGTAGACAGATTCAAATACCTCGGCTCCACAATAACTTCAATAAGTGATCAACTAACAGAGATTGACCAACGAATAACAAGTGCGAACAGATCTTTCTTCTCTCTTTCAAGGGTACTGAATTCCAGAAAAATCTCCAAAAATCTAAAAATAAGAGTGTATAACGCCGTGATTAAATCAGTTCTGCTGTACGGTTGTGAAACCTGGGCTGTAACCGGCACACTAGAAGCCAGATTTGAGAGATTTGAAAGAAAAGTTCTCCGTAAGATAACAGGATCTATATGGAACCAGAACCTTGAGGAGAAGGAACAATAAAGAACTGTTGAAAGAAACGGGTCAGTCAATATCTCATGGCATGAAGGCAAGGAGGTTAAGATGGGCAGGGCATGTAGCTCGTAGCAATCCATCAGGATGCCTTTACACAACAATGAATGCCATAGTAGTAGGCAAGAGACCACGTGGGAGGCCTATAACCAGATGGATAGATAGGATAAACAAAAATACGGCTGAGCTTCATGCCGCAAACTGGAAAGGAGTAACCCAAGATAGGCAGAGGCGGAGAAGGCTGGTTCAGGCGGCCAAAGATCTGCAAGGTCTGTAGAGCCAACCGAAAAAAAAATATATATATATATATATACATATAATTATTAATTGGTTTCATTTTATGAGACACACCAAAGTAACGATTAACCAAATTATTGTTACAAATATAATCAAATAAATTAAAGCTGTGTCGTTAACACTTATCAAAGAAACTTTTGCATGCCCCATTCAAGGTGCCTGCTGGCCTTCGTTTCGAGACCTCAGTTCTGTAGAATTGACCTATTTTCAAACAATAAATGAATAATAACGATTATTCTTCAACAAGGTGATGACTGGCCGCTTAAGGAAAAGTATATCTTCAGGAAATAAAATAAGCGGATAAAGAAATTCATTCTTGAAGCTAATCGTCCGCTCCCCTGAAGGCACTAATATGCGCAATACTTTGTTTTTATTTTTCTCTTATTCCGCAATCTTCTTCGTGTTTCACTTTATTAATTCCTGTAAACTTAATTAAATTTATTTTGTTTTCATTGGATATTGGGTTGTTCACGATGAGCGGAAATGTATATCACAATAATTAACAAATATTTTGTCTGCCTTTTGATTTTTATGTTTTCTTTTGTACTTACTTGGTATGAGATTTCTCTTCGTTAATTTTTCTTTTCTCCTGTGTTGGTAGCTGCATTCATCAGAGTAGTTGGCTCTGAATTCGTTCAGAAATATCTTGGAGAAGGACCGAGAATGGTTCGTGATGTTTTCAGACTCGCTAAGGAAAATGCTCCTGCCATCATCTTCATCGATGAAATTGATGCCATCGCCACTAAAAGGTAATGATGATTTTTGCTTAACTTTTTCAGTTAACACTCTGAATTTTTAAAGATGTAAAGAAACAGTATTATTAGTACTAAAAAACTTAATTTTTGAGATCTCTTTGACACGATTAAAATAAATTGTTATTAAAGCTGTTTCTTGTAAGGTTTGAAGTGAAATTTTAAACTTTTATTTTTAATCAGTTTCAATATTACTGGAATCTTTATTTTAAATTTTTCCTATTATTTGGAAACTTGAACTTCTTCCTTTGGAACTTCTCAAGTAAACGTTTTAAAGAACTTTCATATTTAGAAAACTATCGTTAAAAGTTTTATTGATTTTGCCAAAGAGTTAACCAAAAAATAACTTTTATTCTGAGCTAGTCAACAACAAATGACACATTAGTATGAAGTTATCCATTTAAAATAATTTATTACTGTAATCTAAGCCCAACTATGGTTTATTTCTCATTTAGGATGAACGCACCAGTTGTGCAAAGAGAGCCCAATGATGTATTTATATTTTATGGTGTGCTTATAACTTTTTTCTTAAAAAATTAAACAGAAACTATTAAAATGAAACTTTTTAAAAATAATTTCATATAAGTTTCAATCCCTTGTTTCTTGAATAATGTATACAATATTTTATTTTATATAAATATAACATTAATTCTGCAAAATTAATATACATTATAGTTATTTATCTAATAATATTTTTATATTATCTATTATTGCGTGTTGAGTTTATAATAATTTTTGTTGCTAATAGGTTTGATGCTCAGACTGGTGCAGATAGAGAAGTGCAGAGGATTCTATTGGAACTGCTCAACCAGATGGACGGTTTCGACCAAACCACGAACGTAAAGGTTAGTCTTGGTATTCATCTCGCAATCTTAATATTATAGTTAGAAGTATCGTTCCTATGATACTAATTGTTGCTTACCTTTAGGTTATAATGGCTACAAACAGAGCAGACACATTGGACCCTGCTCTGCTGCGACCCGGTAGGCTGGACAGGAAGATCGAATTCCCTCTTCCTGACAGGCGGCAGAAAAGGCTCGTCTTCTCCACTATCACTGCCAAGATGAACCTCTCCGAGGAGGTTGACTTGGAAGACTACGTAGCCAGGCCGGACAGGGTATCCGGTGCTGACATAAATGCTATTTGCCAAGAGGTAATTTTCTTTTCTTATAACCAGAGTATGGATTTTTATAAGTAAAAACTAGAGACGGGCAAAAAGTACAAATTATAAAATATTTTACTTAAATACTCACACAGTCCAAGTATCGAGTATTTTAATCACTATTAGACTTGATGATTGAAAAATATAAAAACTATTCAGCTGTTCTCCTGAGTACTTTCCATTTTCACATTTATGCAGAATTATTTTAAATTGAATATTGAATAGTTGACTGTTGGATTATAAAGGAAGGAGATGGTCCGGGGTGGCGGTCATAAATAGGCTAAATAGTGACAAAACTGTTTTATTAAAAGCCAACGTTTCGACCCGACTTTGCAGGTCTTCTTCAGGGAGGTGTGTTCAGTTGGGACCACTTACCAGCTAATTTAAACTCCGAACTGAACACACCTCCCTGAAGAAGACCTGAAAAGTCAGGTCGAAATGTTGGCTTTTAATAAAGTAGTTTTGCCACTATTTAGCCTATTTATGACCGCTAACCTGGACCATTTCCTTCCAGAATTATTTTACTTCGAGTACTTTTCAAAGTAATAAAGTACTTCATTCGACAAATTACAAGATATTTTATATACAAGAATATTTTATATTTGTTTAATATTTATGTCCATACTTATGTCATAGGGGCAATAGTTTTTAAAAATACTACATAAATAAATAAATTATCAATTTATTAAAATATTTCAGATTTATTTCATATTAGGATCCAATATTATGTTGTCGGAGGCGCTTTTTATGAAAATATTGTCAGATTGGAGAAAGCGCAACTGCGCTCAACAATTTTTTGTAACTTTCAGATTTAATCGATATTAGAGTCCACTATTATATTATATCGGGAACTCTTTTTATGAAGGTATTGTTGGATTTTAGATTGGGTAACTTAGAGTTCTTATAAAAAGTATCCCAATAACATAATAATGCACACTAATATTGATCAAGTGGGTCTTACAGAATCCTGATATGGATGCCATTATTGAAGGAATTACAAGAAAATATTTATACCCATAATAATGATGTAGTTGAAAAATGTAAAGTGGCTGTAGTAATACTTTCTATACTTCACTTACGTATGATTAATGCTGTGTGAGTAATCTCAGTACTCGCCGAGGTCAGACCAAGTATAGAAACTACTCGTTACTTTCTCTTAATAAAAATAGGAGAAAAGCTAAATATACAATAATACAGTTAAAATATTCAAGTTCACTAATTAACCAATAAAAAGGCCTAAAATAAAAAATAAAAACAGAGAAAGGAGTAAAAATTAAATAAAACTGGTATATATTTTTAAACCAAAATAATTAAAACATAATGAGAAAAACAAACTACAGAAAATTAATGGTTAAAAACATAATTTGAAATACCTATAAGAATTAAAACAGCAATAGATAATTTTATTTAAATATGATAACAAATTGACAGTAATTTATAAAATACAAATGAATATGAAAATATTTATAACACAAATTAAAATATAATCTATCCTTATATTTAATAAGAAAGTTTTTTTGAAGTAACGATCCCTTTTCCGGCTCTCAGAAAGAATGGATTTTGATGAATGAAGGGTGTGGTTAAATGGAGCAGTGATGAAACATAGTAATATATCCCTGAAATTTCTAGAAAAATAGTTATGACTCAAAAGACATTATATTTTATTATAATAAATTATAAGGAATTGTATTTTGTCATAGTAAAGTATTTATTTTTTCTAGATATTAGACTCATGATTATTTGAAAGTTTACTAAATAGCTACAAAAAGTAATAAAACAAAATAAAATTATCTAAAACGGGCCATTATTAGCCATGATACAGACTATAGTAAAGATATTCATAGTTGGTTTCTTATTATGATTGAACTAGAGTGATATGACTGAGAAAAATAAAATTATTTCCTCTGTCACATAATACATTGCATTAATTATGTATTATGTGCATTGCATTATATGTATATTATAATACATTACTGTCTGTATCAATTTTTTACTGATCAATATCTAGTTAATAATGATTTTTTTTTTGTATTCATTGATATTTACAACTGATATTTGATATTTAAAAAAAAAATACAAGAAGTAAATGTGCACTCAGAAAGATAATATCATGAAATCGCTTGTTGAGAAACTACCCACTGATAGCACTCAAATAATAAATTTACACAAGAAGGTCACGAGGCCACCTTCTTTTCAGACGCCTCGGAGGGATAATAACAATTTAAAACATAGTGTGTAGTATGAGAAGAAGTTGATGGGGTGGGGGGGGGTGCTATCAAATAAATACTAAATTATACAAATAGTATTATTTAATTTTTGCCGACGTTTAGGATGTAGCACTGTGGGAGGCAGTTGAAACACTGGCCTATTGAAACAGCAGTTGAAACAACTGGCTCCCGCAGTGCTACATCCTACGCCCTGATGAAGAAGACCTGCAAAGTGGGTCGAAACGTCTTCAAAAATTAAATAATACTATTTGTATAATTTAGTATTTATTTGACCGCACCCCCCGATCAACTCCTTCTCATATTATAGCACGGTCAACCATCTCTACATCATTATAATGTGTAGTAATCAAAAAAGTATTAGAAAATTACTGTATCCATTTCTAAATACTGCTATTAGTTTCATGTTGGAATTCATAGAACTGGATAGTTGCCAAATAATTTTTTAAAATGTTATTTCAAAATTTAGATATAGTTGTGGTCCTAAAAAAATTAAGAAATTTTAAAGTTAAATGCAAAAATATTTAAAAGAATTGTCATTTTTTGTTCTATTTCAGCTAGAATATATTTGAAAATTCTTGGAGTCATGTTAAAGACAAAAAAAAAAAAAAAAAAAAAAAAAAAAAGATAGGAATATTAAATTATAAATTTTGGAATTGATTCTAAAAGCATCTTTTATAGAATTTATATTGGCTTACCTATGAAATTTTATATAGATTAGTTTTGTTTTAGATTATACAGTGTACGTATCTGTTTATATATATCTATGTATAGCTATTTTTATGAATATATTCTATTTATGAGAAGGAGTTAGTCGAGGGTGCGTTCAAATAAATAAAAAATTAAAATATATTAATTATTTTAATTTTTGGAGAGCTTTCGACCCACTTTGCAGGTCGTCTTCAGGGCGTAGGATGTGACACTACGGGAGGCAGTTGCTTTCAAGGCATTAATATATTTTAATTTTTATTTATTTGACCGCACTCTCGACTAACTCCTTCTCATATTATATCAACGGTCAACCATCTCTACATCATATTCTGTTTATGTTTCAGGCTGGAATGCATGCTGTCCGGGAAAATCGTTATATCGTCCTTGCGAAAGATTTTGAAAAAGGTTATAAGAACAATATTAAAAAGGATGAGTCTGAACACGAGTTCTACAAATAAACGTAATTTATATCGTTTGAAGCTTTTTGTTAATAATAATTGTATTTACAAATTATATATTTCTTTTATAACATAGATCGGTTTTGTTATTGTTTCCCTGTCCTACAAAGGTTTTTTTTTTTTTTTTTCTAAAATAAATTTATTATATGCTTAAAAACTTATATTTATTTTATTTTAAAACCATTTCTCCTTGATTATTGATATGTTAATAATTTAGTTTTATGATTAAATCAATTTTTAGAAAAAAAATTTAAGAGAGTAACTTGATAATAATTTTATTTTTTTCCAGCAAACAAATGAACTATTAAATGATGCAACTCAAAGGAGTTAGACGTCAGTCAAAATTATTATAAACATTACTTATACTATTGAAATTTTCTCATCTAATATTATGTTTACTTACAATCTTATTTAGCATACTAAATGATATCACATTAAATTCAGAATTAACACATCATAAATCTAGAAGAATGGTGTCAAAACTGGAGAATTAAAATAAACTCCAATAAATCCCACCAAATTACCTTCGTCGTAAACCAACGACTTCCTGTCCTACAGTTTCCTTTAACAATACTCCACTTATCCCTGTTGAGCAAATCCGATACCTAGGACTCCACCTGGACAAACGACTAACTTGGAATCCTCATACTAGACTGAAACGACAAGAAACCGCTCGTTTCCGATTACTTCAGCACTTATTAGACAAACGCTTTAAACTTCCCATTAATTACAAAAGACTCATATACTTTACTATAATAAGACCTATTTGGACTTACGGAGTTGAGCTATGGGGCTCCACTAAACCATCGAATTCCTCTTGCATCCAATCCTTACAATCCAAAATCCTTCGTAAAATCCTCAATGCTCCTTACTTTGTCACTAATAAAATTATCCATAAAGATCTTAATGTTCCTTATGTTTCAGATCTGGCCCAATCCAGATACCTATCCTTCCATAATAAACTTCAGAGTCATCCCAACCCTCTCGTTTCTAACCTTGCTTCCTCTTCAATTCCTGATAACCCTCCGAGGCGTCTGAAAAGAAGATGGCCCCGTGATCTCCTAATGTAGTCATATCATTAGAGTGCTACCATTGGGTAGTTACTCAGCAAGTGTATTCATGTCATTATATCTATTATGTCCAAATTTACTTGATGTATTTATGTAATACAGTTGTAAATGTCATTAAGAAATAAAAAAAAAAAAAATAATTCAGAATTATGAATGGATGAGGTAATTACTACCATGTCTTACTAAATAGACTCTGTGATGATATGTAAATATAAAAGCAACGGATGAGCTTGTCAAGGAATGTTCCAAAGATGTATTTACTATTACTAGTGTTCGCCCAGTGGTCGAAATTCGACCATAGCCATTAAAAATTTGAGGAAAAGATATAATTAAATAAAAAATAAATAAAGAGTAAATCACGATTCAAAAATCCTCATTTATTAATACAAACAAAATTTCAATTTCAATTAAAAATCGAGCTTAAGTCATTTAAAATTATTTATAAGTAATACAAAATAGACTCATTCAAAAATATTTAATTTTCATTTTAATTTATGTGTGTTATTATCACAATAAATTAATGTTATGATTAAGCAAGTAAAAAATAAATTTAAATTCACTTTAAATCCATTTTTATTCAGAACTTCTATGTAAATAATGTTCTTTTTGAATGTTCTGTTATTGTTTAGTGCATAGCCATGCCCATTGCCATTGAAAATATAAATTTCAATATTTTAAATGAACGTGCTCTAATTGCTGCCACATATAATTGTCCATGCGAAATTACTGGACGTCACAATAATACACACATTTTTCCAAAACTTTTATCCTGCGATTTGATTATGGTCATAGCAAATGCAGCTATTAATAGGAACGTTGTTCTTTGAAAGTCGAATGTAAGTATAGTGTCAGAAAATGTTAAATTAATTCTTGGAATTAAAATTCTTTAATTTAAAGTAGCCCCCATTAATACTTCAGTCTCATTCCTGTTCCATTAACTAATGCTTGTGCAGTATTTAAGTTAACAATGAGTATAACTATAGAATATATTTTTAAATTTAATTTATGAGGTATCATTCCACTAACATTACATGATATCATCTCTTCAAATAATAGACCCAATTACCTCAGTAAATGAAAAGTTTTCGATTTATCAAAAAACAAAATAAAGGAAATCGAATTTGCAAAAGAAAAAGTACTAAATGTTTAAAATGATATATCTCTGCAACAAATAGTCCGATTTCGATGATTCTTTTTTTATTTTGTAGAATTCAGGAAGCTTTCAAATAAATTTTGGTATAAAAAAATGTGTACTTTTTGAGTTATTCACAAATAAAATACTGAATTCATCATAAAAATGTTTGCAGCTTGTTTTCGGGAAAGTATGTTATATACATAAATTATAAAGGTTTCAAGGGGAAGACTTGAGCCAAATTTCATTGAAATTGTTGAAGCCGTATTGGCGCTACAGTCTAAAGCAAATCACGTTTTTCGGTCGCCATTTCGAAAGGAAAAGCCCAATGATAATGAAATGTATACAAAAAAAACTTCTAAATATTATTGTGACGTTGTGTCAAAATTTAAAAGAATTCGGTGAAGAACTTTCGGAGATAAGCCGTTTTGAACAAACTACCATTTATATTTTTGTTTACATACTATTTAATATTTTTATTTATATCAACAACGATGTGGTATATAAGTGCTGTTCCAGACTTAGACATTGACACCCCCGTGCAATGACATCTCCCCTCCCCTCCCCTAAAAAATTTAATTTATTTCTTAAGCTGTTTTACAGACACACACTTGTACCACTACAACCCATGAAGGGTCTTGGGTTCAGTACTATTTAGGGAAAGTAGTGTTACAAGGCCAATGGTTGTGCAAGTAGGTGATCGGGCCAGGATCACGCTCAACTGTCAGATTTTCTCCCTTAATTAATTATTTTAATTAAAGGTTCCCAGTTTGTAGAGGCTGGGTGTGCCCCAGGAGAGTCTCCGTACCACAGGGTCACCCCACGGCCCGTGAAACAGAATAAATAATTTTTCTGCCATGAGCTGGGATAAGAACCTGAGAACTTGAGCATCGGAAGCTTAGTGCCCTACCACTCAGCTACTCCGCTTCCTAAGCTGTTTGATATTATGTAATATTTAAATTTTATTTCATTTAACATTTCTCTAATATAGTTGCTTTATTGAAAGGCTAAAATTAATTATTTTAATACGTTTTGAATTTTTTTATCTCTTACAAGTAGCTAGCGCCATTCAGGACCCCCTATCATTTTATGGTGATAAATTTTTTACTTTTTTATCACCATAAAATTATTGAGGGTCCTGAATGTCGTTATTTTGTATTTTCTAATACCAAGGTATATCTCGTCAAATAAATAATTGTTTTCTATTCCTTTATTTCCACATAGGGAACATCGGAGGAATTCCAGAAAATTTCATAAATAAAAAACAATTATTTTTGGGACCAAATATACCACGGTACAAGGAAAATAAAAAAAAATATCCAGCACCCTCAGAGGCGGCTCCTCAATCATTCTACAGCTATAAAAAAGAAGTACGAAGCATTTATGGTGGGGCTCCATTTGAGAGGCCCAGAAATATGTGAGAATAAACGAACAGTAAACATTTATGTGGACAAACATACTGCGGTACCAGATAAATACAAAACAATGATATTCAGGCCCCAATCAATCTACGTCTATAAAAAAGTACCAAAATATTTATGTTGGGGTACTAGAAAAATATGAAACAATAGTTTTGGGTCCCCTACCAGGAGCCCTTAGCTCTTTGATTACATGGTAAATTTTTAAAGCTATTTAAAAATATGAAATTTAGGAAATTAATCACATACTGTTACTGTAATATTTATTATGTGGAGTTTTCTCATTTTTGTTCATTTCAGAACTTGAGTGTTATTTATGGAACATGATTTTATTTTCAAGACAAGTTATGGCCCACTGGACTTGGGTGGCAGTCTCAATGCGGCTCTCAGAATTAGGTTAAGGTCTAAAATATTTGGAGACCTCTGCCATATATGAAATGTATAATAAGGGAAAATAATGTGATCGATCAGGACAATTTTCGAATCGGAGATTTCAACCGAAATACACATTTTGAATATAGGTTTTGAAATACAATTTGTGTGTGCGAGTAAACAGCCTTTTTTAGCTAAAAATGGAAAGTCGTAAGTAACTGAAATTAGGCATTTAAAATAGTAATATTTCTGAAATGGTACAGCAATGTTTTCGCTTGAATTGACTGGATGTGGGACTTAATTTCATCAATTTTTTTAAAAAATGGCTCCAACAATTTTGCTCATCTTTGATATTGTGCTATCTTCAATGAAATAGTTTCACAAGAATTAAAAACTGAATTTACAAAACTTCTTTCTCTAAAGTACCTTTAATTTATTTTATTTAAAATAATTCAAAGATTCTCATTGTTATCAGTAGTAGAATATGGTTAAATATGAATTATGAAAGAATTTTATGATTAAAGGAGAAAATAATAGAAACATTTTTGTAGGCTGAAAATAAATTTCTGGAAATAAGTGTAGTATTATAGACATTGGCAGACTTTATTCTCTGGTTGGGAAGAGGGAGAGAGGGTGATCAACTCCCTCTCCCTTCAAAAAAATCTCGGAAGTTTATATTATCTATAAAAATTATGAGTAATAATTACATAATTATTGTATTATTCTTTTTTGCTGGAAAGCTGTATAATATTCTCTATTGTCGGCAATGAAAACTACCAGATATACAACTATTGGTTTATTTGTTGATTTACATGTTAAGTTGATGTTCAGGGAAAATTATTCCTATCTTCAAAACTTAAAATCCTATATTTTTATAGCCATTATTAAGTGTGATGTGCTCCTTTGTCATGATTTGAAATTTATGTTATAAATAAAATTCAGTGTCTGCACAGCCAATTATTGGTCCTAGGAATGTTGATGTTCCATATAGTATAACTTTATTTTATTTTATTCATAACATAAATTTCAAATCATGACAAAGGAGAACATCAGACTTTGGCCATAAATCACTATTAAAATATGGGATTTTAAGTTTTGAAGATGGGAATAATTTTCTGG